ATTCACGAGAGTTCAGTGAGAGCAGGAGAGGCCACACTAACCTTCACATCCAGGCCCTGGACTGCGGAAACCTGATATCTCAGTCAGACCCAAGCAGGACTCTGGAACAGTCTATGGGAATGGCTTGATCCCCATATCCCTGGTGAGAATATTTAGCCCTTGGGTCCTATAGGAACAGGAATATTACTCAGTGCATTCAGTGGCCACGTTATTCCTCCAAGGATTACAGTGTTTTCATCAAGGAGAACTTCCTGGGTCTAGACTGTGAACTTGTAAAGTGTCTCTTCGGCCAGTGCTTCTTTTTAACATGGACATGAATCATCTAGGGAGCTTGTTCAAACTCCAACTCTGAAACAGTGGGTCTGGGCTGGGGCCTGAGATTCTGCATGTCTGATGTTGATGTGCTGTTTGTGGATGTGAGGCCTTTGACATTACTTAACCCTGGGCACTGTCACTCTGTTAGGAAACCGATCACAGATGCATACTGTACATTCCACTACAGTACAAATCTCCAAAGATATGAGGCCACGGTCTAACTCGTCCTAACACCTCCTACCACAGTGCAGGGGAGGCTGGCTTCAGGGGTCTCCAATGACCATAGGGAGCAGGCAGGGAGAGAGATCATGACTGCTGGAAAAATAGGTTGTTCTAGAGCCTGGGAGTAGCATTAGGGTGAGGGCTAGACTCTCATTCCTTGGGGGAGGCACAGGGTCTTAAGGTCCATGGCTTCCAGGAGCTCATCAAGACAAGAATTCCTGACTGAAGGAAAGTGTCAAGTCCAGGTTAGCAGCAGCAGAGAGGCAGATGTGACAAAGTTTTCAGGTCTCCCACCTGGCCAGCTGAGCCCTCGCTGCAGGATCACAGGAGATGGAAATGTCCTTGCATCTGAAAGATTTTCCAAGATGCCTGTGTACCCACAGCCCATTAACCCCACAAAATCCAGGTGCTTTTTTAAAGAATGTAAATCTGATTCTTTCAGACCTCTGCTTAAAATCCTCCCAGGACTTTCTACTTCTCTCAGGATAAAGCACAAACTCTAGGAGCCTGCATGACCGGACCCTGCCCACACACTTTCCATATGCTCTCATCATCATCTTCCATGCTCACAAAGCTTTAGTCACTCTGGCCTTCTTCCTATTTGTTAAACATCCCAAAGTCATTCCTATCCCAGGGCCTTTGCACTAGCTATTTTTCCTTCACTGCATTGTGAAGTGTCATCACTGCATTGTGTTCAAAGACTCTAGCCACAGGCAAAATTTCAATAGGAGAGCTACTCCAAAATAAGGTATAAACTTTTGATTTTGTGGGTTTGACGTGGATTTATTTTTCTCTTGATTTTTACCCAGTTGAGGCCCAGAACAATCTGACACCTTCATATTGCAAAAGGGGACTTAGGCCCAGGGACAGAATGGGAAACAATCAAAGTTGCTCAGGTTGGCTGGCGAGGGATGGTGGTGGTGGTGGTGGTGAAGGGGCAGAACTGCCTGCAGACAGACCCAGAGGTTGTGACTCAGACCCATGGGAAAGGAAATTATTTAAATTCACTTGAACCCACTACACTGAATAATATTTACAGTATTTACATTGCCTTAACCCTCCTCTACTACACCCACTGCTCCTATTTTTGGCTTTTGACTTTGTCAAGTCCAAGGTTGTATATAGGAATATACAGAGAATCCTAAATTTCTCTTCTATTTGTTATCCTATTTTTCTTTGTCACAAAATATACTTTCTGAGACCAGAGGAGGGTGAGTTATAATTTATGGGTTCCTCTCTAGAAATTACAACCAGAACCTAATTTTAAAAATCAAATTGGTTTCATCTAATTAAATTTGGAAATTGCCTCATAAACACATACTCTGTTATAAATGTCTTGAAAAGTGAGGTCTCCTGCTTACTATCTGGGGCAGGAATGGGTTGAACCCAGAGTGGAAGGGACTCCCCATCTGCCTCTGCTCAGGAGGACATACTTGCTTATCAACTGCTGAAATTTTCTCATGAGTGGTGTGGTCTAGAGCAGTGCTTCTCAAACTTTCATGCCCGCGTGAATCACCCAGGAATCTTGTTAACAGGAGACTCTGACCCAGGTGGTCTGCTGGGGCCTGACATGCTATTTCTAACCAGCTCCCAGGTTATACTAATACTACCATATTGAGTAAGGGGCAAGGCATCAGCACTTGAACTCAGGACCCACAAATTCACCATCTCAGCTATGACCTTGATGTTTAAACCTCAATTCTCTGGGTTTCAATTTCTTCATTTTCATGTACTGTGAGAGCTAACAATTACTGACGTGATTTCTAAATGCCAAACACAAAGTTAAACATATATGTATGTGTACAAATGAATATAAATGAGAGGCTCCTTGCTGTACCCGAGGTTACACAGCAAGTAAATGGCAGGACTAAGGTTCAGAATGAAGCTGTCTGACCTCAAAAGCCAACATTCGTACCTTTGGAGGCCCCACTAGCTTGTGATGCACATGGTCACAGCCACGCTTATGGTCAAAATACAATGACCTCAGTCCATGAACTCCTTGGCTCCCTTTATCGCATCATCTGAGATATTTGGCATATTCCCAAAAGGTGACCTCCAGAGTTCACAGACGAGTCAGACAGCTGCAGCCTTCCATCTCTGTCTCTCTGCAATCACAGCAGAGGAAGCAGCCAAGAAGCCACTTGAAGGTGTCTCTCCAGAGCTGTGTCAGAAAAGTCCATCACAGAAATGGCAGCATCCCCGGCGATTGGTCTTTGGGAATCTACAAGGTACAGGACTCACATACAAGGGAGGGGGCGCGCTGTGCCGATCTGTGCCCACCATTGTGCCTAGGGCTCCAGAGGTCACATACTGAGACCTCAACTTCAAGAAGCTGCTGCTCGGAAGGGGTGCGTCACTCACAGCTGGGACTGCTCCCTTGCTCTCTCTCCATCCAATCCCCTCTTCTTCTCACTGAACAGCTTGAGCGGGTTTCCTAGCCTGGCCCAGTGCACCCATCAGAGGAGCAAGGATACTTCCCAAGGAAGAAATCAGTCCGTGCAGGGATATGACACCTCCTGCAACACGGCCCATTCAAGGGCAGCTAGGTACAAAGTCTACAGGGCCTTTTCAGGACAAAGTTGTCCTCAATTCAATGCAAAAAGAGAAAATAAGGAGACTCATGAGTTATTCATAAAGCTAAATTTATTCCATTTGAAGGACTGCCTTTTATTCTGAAATTATGTCCTTTCTGTATTTCTGAAATTATGTCTTTTATGAAATGTTGTTAATAAAAAATGGTAAAGAACTGAATGTTGATACTCCAAACCTTTAGAAATGTTACTGGCCTGTGAATTCCAGAAATCTTGAATATCTGGCATAGAGAGCCATTTACGTAATAGCATCCAGTGACTTAACTCCCTGAGTCCTCGGTTCCTTCCCTCTGCTTTACAAAGAGGTGTGTGTGTGTGTGTGTGTGTGTGCGCGCACATGTGATCACAACTTCCATTTCACAAAGAACGGCAGGTAGCTCTGAAACGACGGGGCTCTGTTTCAGCTGAGTTTTTGGTCCCTCTCTCTTTCCCCCATCGAGGTGCTTCTGAACACGTCCTGGGCAAGGTTGATATGGTACCTCCCATCCCCTAGCAGCTTCCACAGGAGGGAAGCTTCTTCCAACCATGGGGCCCAACACGGAACATTATACAGCTCTTCTTTTGAGGAATGCTGGGATTTGGTGAGTGAAGGCATTTTCTGAAGGTGTTTTTTCAAACACCTTGTACATGATGAATGGCCTTCTCCTTCCTCAGAGAGCTGTGAGGTCCTTCCGGGTCTCCCCAGATAGCTTCTGTGCCCATCCAGTTCATCCTAAATATTTCCCCCTCACCAATACTCTCTGACTTCCCTCCCTTATATGGGGATATTCTTTCACAGCTCACTCTTAATACCTCTTGGTACCTTTTGGCATGAGCTCTCAGTGTGAGCAGGGCATTTCAGCGTGGGGATGCTTGTGACCTTTCCCACCTCAGACCTTCTATAACCCTAAAGCAGCCATTACCAATCCCATCTTACAGGGGAGTGGAAGGCCTGGAGAGAGGAAGAACCTGACAAAGGCCGAGAACCATGGCAGTGCCACCAGGTGCTGGGCTCAGTCACGCCAGACCATGGCATGCTGGGCTCCATCACTGCAACTTCGGCTTCTATGCCCTTCCCTCTGCACTGCCCTGCTCTCTACTGCACCCAGTACCACAGTCTCCCCGTGTCTCAGAAGATGCAGGGTGGGAGGAGGGTCAACCTTGACCACATTTTAGCACTAGAATTAAGCTATTATCAGCCTCGCTGAAGTTTTACTACTTGTTTTTGTTTTGCAATGGGCTTCTACATGGTTTGTTCCAACGTTCAAAGCTTTCAGGAGGCCACACTGTTGGCTTCATGGGCATCTTCCTTTCTGAGGAGGTTCTACTCCATCTCTGATACGATATCATAACTCTGATAGGATAAGGGCCTGCTAATGCTCTGAGGGGGAGCTTCTGACACCATCACCCAAATAACAACAAAATTTGCTGTGTCCAAAGAGCAATATTAAAGCTTAAGAATCATGCACCCCCGGGGTAGGAATGACTGGGATTTTTTTGGAAGCCCAAAAACTAACAAGTGTAGTATGAGCATCGTGTGGGTGTTGTGGCTTTCCATATAAAGTGAACTATAACTACCGTTTGCTATGCCAGGGTCCTGTGGGATAGGCTGGGACAGTCTGCCTCTCGGAGTGCCTTCTTCTTTCTAAAGAGATCAATAATCACTTCAACGGTGGTATGTCCAGTTTTCTTATCACAGGGCTACCAAGCTGCTCAGCTGTATGACCTTATGTCTTCTTCCCACCATACTGTCTGAGACCTTTGGGTAAGATATGTCTCACTCACCTTCATGCCCCTCACTGGAGCTCTGCACCCAGTAGAAATTCACTAACTTCAGGCTGAAGTAAATTGAATAAAGCCAAGCCAAGTGGTATAGCGAAAGGGTCTTCTTACCTCATACAGTGTGATGACCCCGTTGGTCTCATTGGGAGGTTTCCATTGGATGTAGATCTTCTCCTCAAAGGGCCCTCCTTGGATAGATTCTAGGGGAACAGCTCCTGGAACTACAGAAGGAAAAAGGAATTTGATGGTACCTTCCACCTCATTTCCCCAGCCTCACTGAACTAGCCGAGCAGCTGGCTGAGCTTTTCTATAAAGGGTCAGATGACACTATAGGCTTTGTGGAACATACAGTACCTGTTGCAATTGCTCAGCTTTGTGCTTGTAGCACAAAAACAGCCACAGACAATGCATACACAAAAGGGCATGGCTCTGTTCCAATAAAACTTTATTTAAAAGAGAAAGGCACTAGGCTGGAGTTGACACCTGGGCCCTAGCTTGCTAGCCCTTCTCCTGGATGGCCAATGGCTTTTTATCTGCAGACTAAGCAAGTCTGTTTTTGAATTAAACCTGACCAGTGTAGGGAGGACATCAATAGGCCCCAGCCCTGCCAGCAGGTAGGATTCTAGAATTAGACTCTCACTTTAGGACTGGCAACTGAGGGATCCAAAGTGAGCTTCACTATCATCTTCTAGACCCTACCAAGGAGTCTCCAATTATTCCTCTGTTTCCTAATTCCCGAATCCAACAGGATCCATGGGTCCTGTAACTTCACAAATTAGAAAAGTCTGTTTCACTCCCAGAAGGCAGCTAGTTTGTCTCGCTGCTGAGTCTCTGATGCCTGGCACATGGCAGACACTTAATAACCATTTGTTGGTTGGTCGAGCAGGTGAATAAATGACCCATGCCAGCATTTTGCCCTAATGAGCAAAACCTTTCCTGGGCTGCTTCTGTACCCAGCTCAGTCTTCCTGCCAGCATCTTCCTGCTAGATTTTAGCATCATTATGATGGTCTGGAAGACACTGAACCATAAAATAAATGATTCTCCAAAGTTCCAGTTATAACCCCCCAAGGAATCATGAATTCATGTAAATCATTACTGGATCTATTTATATTTTGGCGTTATAAAAGCAGGTACTTTTTACTAAGCACTTACTCTTTGATCAGAATTTTACATACATTATTTCATTTAAGCCGAAAAACAGCTCTGCCCAGGATGTATTATCTCCTTTGTGCTGATAAGGGAACTGAGGGTAAAAGAATTAAATAACTTGCTCAAGGTCATCTGGCTCGTAAGTTGTAAAGAGGGAACTGAACACCTGTCTGTGAGCTTCAAAGCATATACTCTTAATCATCATGGTATGCCTCTCTCGATATAGCCTTGGCCATATGTTGCAATCAGTTCCCTATTGTTAAATTAAAATATATTTAGTTTTTCTCATTATGGACACGATACACAGAATTTGTTGAATATTAAGAATATACAAAAAGGGTAAAAAAAGAAGGAACAAAATCACTCATAATCCCCAGAAACGGAGATATTTTTCCAGTATTTTTATGCCTATGCAAATACATGTTATTTTTAAAAATTAAACTGTGCATATTGTGTTATGACCTTTTTTTAAATTTTAAACATGTTTTTATTTTTTATTTTTTCCTTTTTTAATAGTTTATTGTCAAGTTGGTTTCCATGTAACACCCAGTGCTCATCCCGACAAGTGCCCTCCTCCATGCCCATCACCCCCTTTCCCCTCCCCCCCATACCCATCAGTCCTCAGTTTGTTCTCAACATTCAAGAGTCTCTCATGGATTGCCTCCCTCCCTCTCCTCCCCTATTTCCCCCCTTCTTCTCCCACATGGTCCTCCGTTAACTTCCTCCTAATCCTCCTATGCGTGCAAACATACGGTAGCTGTCCTTCTCTGCCTGACTTATTTCGCTCAGCATAACACCCTCAAGTTCCATCCATGTTGGTACACATGACGTTCTTTTATCACTAAATGAATCATGTTTTTCCTTAATCCTTAAATGTTCTTTGGGGCCATGCATTTTAATGCCCCATTAGAGTCACATTATTGGGCGTTAAACTTGGTTTGAGGGGTGCATGGGTGGCTTAGTCGGTTAAGCATCCAACTCTGTATTTCAGCTCAGGTCATGGTCCCAGGGTCATGAGACTGAGCCCTCAGTAAGGCTCCAAGCTGGGTGTGGAACCTGCTTAAGACTCTCTCTCCCTCTCCCTTTGCCCCTCTGCCACAGGTGCATGCAGACACGTGTGGGAGTGTGGGTGCCTCTGTCAAAAATAAAAAGGTTGGTTTGAATTTTTTATAAGTAACACTGCAATGAGAATTCTTATCAGTATTTTCAAGAAACTGCTGATGTCCCTAAGATAAATTCTTAGAAATTAATTTATCTGGCCAAAGTGTTGAACTATTTTATTTTCAAGGCTTTTGATACACATTGTCAGATTGTCTTGCACAGAGTTTGTACCATTCTGGGTTCCCCAAAAGAAGAACATGACTATTCCCAATCCATGCCAGTGCTGACTATTTAAAAAATTAAGTGTGTGTGTGTGTGTATCCTTTTTAGAAAACTAGAGAGTGTAGTTTTTTTTTTTTTTTTTCAGTTTAATTGGCCATTTGCATTGACTCTTTTATGAACATGCTCTTTATAACCTGCTCTCATTTTCCTCTATGGCTCTTCATTTTTGTCCATTGCTGTCTTATGGGTTTGTAATTATAATCTGTTTTTAAGAATTTAAGCTTATTTTTGCGTGAGTTGCAAATATTTTTGTCTGTTTTTCATTTGCTTCTTGAAAATTTTAGGTGTGTTGAAGCTTCAAAGTCATCGGATCTCTAATTGTTTTTCCTATCTATTCATCCTTGCCACAAATATCAGGACTTGGAGGTAAGGGCACAAAGTATTAGGAGAATTACAGGCAAAGAAAATCTAGTCTGGCAAGTCAGGATATTAAGTGGAAAATAAAAGTCGATGGATTAGGAAAAGTTCCTAGGACAAAAGTGGGGGATGGCAGCTATTGGAGCGTGGTGGGCTGCTTTGTGGGGGCCACAGTGGAAGGAACAAGGCCGTCCAGGGGAGAAAGGATGGTAATGGTGGCATAGAAGAGAAGCTGATGGTGTAGGAGATTTGAAGCTTCTGAGCAACTGTGATTTGGTTGATGGTTACAGGTGAAACATGGAAGTGATATGTCAAGCATAGACCCCAGCTTGTCTGTTTCAGACCCCTTGAGTGGGTCAGAGTGCTGTTCTTAGAAAGGAAGCCTTACAGGGGGGCTAGTTTAGGAAAGGAAGCTGGTGAGTTTTGTGATGCTTCATTTGAGGTGTGTGCAGAACACCCAAATGGCAACGTTGAGTAGCAGCTGGATACACAAGATTAAGCAACTGTGTAGAAGGGAACAAATAAAACACGTCCAGGACTAAACCAAGAGGAACTATAATCCTAATCAGGAGGAAACAAAGAAACTGAGAAACTGGGAGGCTATGTTCAGAGAGGCCACAGGAAAACCTCGAAGGTGGGCTGTCACGGAAGCAGCCAAAGGATCCAGAAGTGATGGATCCACGGTGACAGAGGTGACTGAGTAGTCAAGTACATTACAAACTTAAATGTGCCCACTGAATTTAGTGTCTTCAGGGTTACCTGTGACCTAAGCAAGAGTAATTTAAAGGGGAACGCCGGCCCCACAGCCTTCCTGCCATGAGCAGAGGAGAGCACGGGAGGTGAGAGACTGTGTGCAGGCAAGTCAGTGATTTGGGTCTCGAGGGGGACTGATGCAGGAAGAGCAGAGATGGGGAACAGACCACAGCAGCGTCTCCTCCCAAAGGCTGGAGAGGTTATGGCAGGATCACACACAACCGAGAAAAATCCAAAATTGAAGTATGTATGGCAGAGGGGGAAGAAAGAAGAAATGACTGACAGTGGTCCAGTCCTGAAAGGCAGCAACAGGGGTGGGTGGAGAGGAAGCACCTTTTTCCTTGTGAGAGAAGACAAGATGGGAAAATGCACAGCTGCTTTGGAGCGTAGAGTTGAGGTGTCCTTGTGGGTTCATTTTCTTGAGAAGCGAGGGTGAAGCCATATAACAACAGTCAGGAATTGGGAGAAGATTTAAGAGCTGGAAAGTGAGCTGAACAGTGAAATGGAGATGCTACTCTTAGCAAGGGTCTATCCAGTGAAGGCTGAGAGTGTATCAACCAGCTGGCATTCAGGCCACCTGGTCTCCTCCTGTATTTCCAGTTTAGAGCAAATTCTTGTTCTCACCCCAGATCAGAAGAATCATCATCTGTATTTTCTTCTGCTTGATTTATTCCCACTTTCTTTTTGAACCTAATTTGTTAATCCATCTGGAATATATTTTATATATTGCACAAAGTAGAAATCTAGCCATAGTTCTTTACAGTTTTCTTAGGACAATTAGTTGACCAGTCAGAACTTTCCCCAGTGATTTAAAATGTCACTTTACCAGCATGTTCGATTATTTTATATCTTGGCATGTGTGGAGTGGCTCCTGCTCTATTTCGCTGAGTCACAGCCTCTTATTTTGACAGTATCTCTCTGTTGTGTTCATATAACACGTTTTAATATTTGACAGAACAAGTCCTTTTCTTTTATTATTCTTCTTTGGCAAAGTTTTCTGGGCTTTCACTACCCGGTTGTTTTTCTACAACACTGGAAAAGTTTTATAAAACTTCAAAAATATTCCATCAGAATTTTTATTCCGGTTGTATTCGTCATTTCTCTGAGGGACAAATGATACCTTTTTATAACGAGCCCTCCCACCAGTAATGCCAGTAACGCTGTACAAATCATCATTTATCAATGCTTCTTTTTATGTTCCTTAGTCAGAAATATGTTTTAAAATTCCTTACAAATTATATTTCTAGGACTTTACTGCTTTTCTTTATATCATTTTGGACTCTATTAAAAAGCTTCTCTTATGAAATCTATCACAGACAAAAGTACAGGTAATGAATGCATAGTTTATAAAATAATTATGAAATGAACATACATGTACCCACTATCCCTTCTAAGAAATAAAACACCACTATCATTGAAGTATCCTGTGTGTTCCATACTGCTGACTTCTCTCTCACCATAAAAACAAAAACGAAACAACCCAAACAAACAAAAAACACCCAATTAGGTACTAGCCTGATTTTGTGTTAATCATTCTCCTTATTTTCATTTGGAGTTATAAATATATGCATCTATCC